TGCGTGGCTAGGTTTAGGACAATAATGTCTTTAAAATCAGCAATAATTTGTCTTCTATCGACATAGAAAGAAAACAATGAAAGGTAAAAGCTTATTTACTTGAATTGTACATTCATATCGTAGGGATGATGTTAAAACATACTGGCGATATTGTTTTGTTTATATTGGTGTCAATATATCCGCAAATAATTGACAGCTTCTTTATAAAGACGGTTACTATCAAGTTGCTAAATGGGACTACAGGCGGTGTCGGAGACATTATACGTCATCGGGCTGATCTGGAGCGCAGCTCGCTTGTGTTGGCCATTTGGATTTGTCTGTTATTTAGGTATTTTCATTAATAGTATTTTATAGTTTTTTGTGTTTTTCTAATTAAGAATTCAGATTGTGTTTAGATAGTGCCTTCACATGTAAAGGCTGTCGAGACAGATTCATTTGTTGATCATTTATTTTAATTAAACTATATTATGAAGATACTGCTCACCAGTGCAGCCTGTCTCTCTCCTGCCCTCAGTAATGCAAACGTGTGAATAAATGTGTAAAAACAGACATATTAACTGTCATTTTAACGTGATCAAGTAATTTTTAATCTTTTTTTATTCATCTGAACACATTTTACTTAGTCATAACTGCAATATTTACACTCCTCCATAAAACGTATAGCAGATGTGACTGTATGGGCTGCTTTTCGTTGTACGTCGTGACATAAAAGGAATACTGAATGTTGCTCTGTGTCCATCATGATGGAACTTGCAGGCATTTGATAGACTTGTTCCTCCTCACGCCTCATTTCTGTCATCTGTTAAGGTAAGCAGGCTGTGTGCTCGAGCGATACACTTATTTAAATATGTATTATGAAAATACTATATAGGCAGAATTATGCACGCAGTTTTAAAACTTTTAGAACAACCGCAAAGCAAAACATGTATTTCCCACGTAAAAACGATCCAAAAGGCACATAGGTCTATGTATTTTTGCGTATTTATTTGTTTATAATATATAGCATGGATTATAATATTATATAAAGAGAGATTAACTCTTTGTCATGGACATTATTTCTAAAAATAAGCTTGATAAGTTGTCTGTAGCAGGGTGGGGCTGACGTCACAGACGAGCGCCCCGAGGGCACTGTAGTCCGTTTATAGCCTAATGTTAGCTTTTTAACACTTGCGTTTGCATTAAAGATCCAAAAGTGCTCCAAGTTGTATATTCGAGTGAGTATTATCCGGCTGGACAAAACGTGTAAGTGTAATGAACTGTGTTTGAACACAGAGCTTATTATTTGCAATCTTCGAAAAGCCTATGGGAAAATCCTATAGGGATTTTCACGAGGGAAACAGTTTTATGCTAGCAGCCGATTAGCCTACAAAGTGACGTCATAGTTCCTCCACTCTATTGCATGTGTTTGGACTGTGGGGGAAACCGGAGCACCCGGAGGAAACCCACGCCAACATGGGGAGAACCCAGTCGGGGCTCGAACCAGCAACCTTCTTGCTGTCAGGCGACGGTGCTACTCACTGTGCCACCGCGCAACCTTCTATGTAATGTATTATGACATGCACTAAAAGCATCCTCTCCTGATACTGTCTGTGAATCCCCCACAAGCATCAATCCCCTCAATCAGCACAGCTATGTTCTGATAAATCCTCCACAAGCACCAAACCATCAACACAGCCACATTCTGCCCCAGCAAGTCAGTTTCAAACATAAAAAAAACAAACAAACAAACTTTGTGTCTTGTTTGTGGCAGGCAGATGACAATAGCAGGGCTGTATCTTTTAGTATTATATAGAATACTTTTGTTCTGCCAGATCTCCCAGGCAGGGTTTTATTTAGATTTATTTAGTTAATATTAGTTTTTGGAATTCTGTCCATTGGAAAGAAGTTCTTTCAGAAGAAGAACAGTTTTTTGTAGTATTATTTGTTTTTATTCTGTCTATTCAGTGTCCTTCAACAAGAACGGTGGTGGTGGGGTTCGTAATATTCACAGTGGTATTTTATTAGTTGTTGGTTTAACCATGGATGAGATAATGGCTTCTATGTTATTATCTTTTCAATGACATTTCTTGTCACATGTTCAAAAACAACAACCAATGTTGCATGTCTATAATTGATATAATGGGTATAATTAAACAATACTTTCACTATAATGTAAATTAGAAGTGTAATAGAAAAAATATATATTTTTGCGCCATTTTGAATTTTACTCGAATACAAATAAAAATACTTTTCCCCCCTCAACAAATACAAATACCGGCTGCTCCGCACATCCCTACTATTATGCTGAGGTTTCAGCTTTGGGTAGAGACTCAATAATATCCATCTGCAGTGTGACTTCAATCGACCGGCATGTTTGTGTGTGTGTGTTTGTGGGTGTGTGTGTGTGTGTCTGGGTTTCTGTGTTAGAGGGCGGGGCTGGAGGTTTCAAATCTCCCGGGTTTGCGCATGCACGTGAATAACTTGGTTTCGTTAGTACGTCATGGTGAAACACCTAATGACTCGTTATCAAGGCGACTCGTTTGAAGCATTATGAGTCGACTCTTTTATAGATGAATCAACAGTTTTAAACACTGTACTCTTACAGATTTAAGCCTTAGCTTAAATTAGCTTAACTTCACTTAACTTAGAGCTGTGTTACAAACTACATGGAAGGGCATTTTCAAAAAAAACATAATATGGGCTCTTTAATTGATCGAGTCAGTGATACTGAAATGAGTTCAGTTACTAACCTCTCAATATTGTTTTTCAAGTGAGGGACACGCAGCAGCATGCGTCAAGGGAAAAGAGCTTGTTTAAAGAGAGCAAAGCGAAAGCAAGATTATGTGTGGAGATGTATCGAAATATTGATATTTTTACTCAAACTGAAACAAAGTGCTTTGCACACGTGTTTGAATTTTGTATGTTACACTTTGCCAAACTCCCCTGCTGAAATTCCCTGTGATTTGTCAATTTCTGTGCAACATTAACAGATAGTGAACTTAAATATTTTAGCATTTTTCTCACGGAACGAGCAAAAGTGGGCCCAATACATCTCCTGATTACCCTACTCAGTGCTGCTGAACTGTTTGTGTTCTTTAAGACTTTCTGTTGTATGAATTACGACTGCATGAAATGATATAAAAGGGAAATGTGCTTGGTAATGCACGCTGAGACGTGTGATGCGCAAAGAAATCTGTGCTCTGTCAAATTTGGTTCTCTTTCATCTAAAGGCTGATTTATACTTCTGCGTCAAACACCGGCGTAGGCTACGGCGCTGACGTATAGCCCTTCGCCGTGGCCGTTGGCGTCACTGACGTGCACCTCTCAAAAATTGTAACTACACGTCGCAACAATGCGTAGCGCAAGCTCTGTGATTGGTCGGCTTGCTAGCGCAGACGAGTCTGGGCGGGACAGAGAGCCGCGCGAATGGTGCGAGCGATTGTTTACAAGTGTGGAGTCCCGTGAAGGAGCTCCGGATGGAAAGTTTTGTTCTATGTTTACCTCATGGTTAAAGTTGTTGCACGTCCGCCGGTTCCTGCCACAAAATGAGCGAGTTTGAGTGACTTGTACATCCAGGAAGTGTTCAGAATAGCAAAACAGAAGCGAAGAAACTCGACACAGAGGAACATTTACACCTCACTGCCCACTAGCGTTTCGGAAGTGTTAATGCAGACCAACAGAAACAGCGCGCAGAAGTATAAATGCACAGCCACGCGCGTTGCCTGCGCCGTGAGTTGCGCCGGTCACTTGACGCAGAAGTATAAACCAGGCTTAATGCAGATTGAATGGTTTAAAATTATTAAATCGGAATACTTTAATCAAGATTGTAAACTAGCCTGGCTTGCCAAAACATATTTTTAAAGCTCACAATCACATTGTAGGCTGCTTTCTCATTTATGAAACGCATTGCAAAAAAATGTTATCTGATGTGGGACCAGGGTGGGCCAAGCCCATATAGAAAAATAAAAAAACATAAAAATTAGATATAGTATATAATCCCAAATCTTATTTTTAAAAACGTTGGTGGTATAGAGTTTCTTTTAAAGTGTGACTTTAAAATTTATAAACTCATATTAGGCTTCAAAACTTTTTTTATTTAAACAATTATATATATATATATATATATATATATATATATATATATATATATATATATATATATACTTACAGACAGCACACAATATAATTTATCAGTGCACATAAGCAGTACAATATGTAATGCATATAAATAATAATTTGAATCAACAGATAACTGAAGTGCTTCAGTAGTCGGTTGAGTACTGGAATTAGCATGTAAGCTAACAAATTACTCATTTTCTCATTGAAAATAGTGACACTGGGTTTCCCATATACCGATTTATTTGTAGTAATGTGGGAGGTTTCACATGAACATATCTTTAAAGGCAACTAGTTGTCTACAGAAAGTTGAATTGTCTTCATTAAGAAAACTTGTTTCTTTTCTCAGATTAGTCAATCAAAATAAAAGTGTAGTGTTTTGAAACCAAAGTCCTCAGTTATTACCCACAACACATCAAGAGTTTATCAAGTCAAAATGTCATAATCTGAACCAATTGAGATCTGTCGTAACTGACAAATGGCATTGTGTAGTCTGAACAGGGCTACAGGGAGTCTGCATCAGTCAGTCAATGTCATTGCCTTATGGCAGGTTCACACCACACAAGTTTAGCCGGACTTTCATTCACCAGCAAGTTTTATGAAATTGCAGACAAAAGCCTAAAATTGGAGGCAAATGGCTGTTTGTTCATGCGAGTGACAAACAATGTGAATGATCAAAAACACAACCTAGAGGTGTAGGACAGTGTTCCCTGCATCTCCCCGAACATTCTTCCTCATTATTCTTCTGATTTTCTTTTCAGTGCAGACCATTTGATTAAGGTGTGCAATGTGCATAAATATGGTTATCGGTTCAAGTTGAAACACATTGTCAGATTTTGCTGTATTTGGCTAAACAATTCTTGGGTGACTCACCAATGTATAGATGACTCTAATACATCAAATAAGTAAGCTGACCAAAGTTTTTTCATGGAGAAGACTTTATTGAAGACAATGAATAGTGCAGTTCCTCAGCAGTGATGTTAACTCGTCCGTCTTAAAGTAACTTAACCCAAAGTAATGTCTTTGAGAGACTACTTAATAACAAAGGATGTAACCCCCCGGAGAATACCCAACTGCTTTGGTTGGGTCACAACTCTTGAGTTCCTGTAGGTCATTTGGTTCACACCTTTTCAGATGCAGATACTTGTTTGCATATGAAACAAGCAACACAATCTATCAACATATAGAGTTATTTTGCATTCTTGCAGTGCGGCAGCAACTCAGATCTACACTACAATCTGATCTGACCCCTGAACTATAAAACAGTTGTCAAAATCTTCACCCCTTTTCAATAATTGAGTTTAAATCCTAAGGTGTTCAAAGAGTTTAATTTTCAGTAACTTGATATGTATTCAAGAGTTCACACTTGTTCCGCTAGAGACCTCTAAGCTCTTTGGATCCTCGAGCCCTGGGCTCCCTTCTGTAAACAGGGCGAGAGGGGAGTTTGAACTCAGGAAGATCTCGATGAACTTCCCCGACTTGTTTCTGTTCTAATGACAGATATAGGGATGGCTAAAGGGAGATATATGGCTTCTAAGAGCTCGACTGTGGTGCCAATTTAGAATGTTCAGTTTACCTAGGTCGTGTGTTTTGGGATTGTGGGAAGAACCCGGGAGAAACCCACACGCTCAGTGAATGAGCAAAACTCCACACAAATGTCAACTGTTTCAGTGGGGACTTTAACCTGTGGCATTCTTGCTTTTAAGTAACAGTGCTAACGACGGGGCCACAATGTTGCCCAATCTAGAAAGGAGGGGGAGTGGGGAAAATTCTCAAGATGAAGATAACAGAGGTGAGAATCTCTTGTTATTTATAGGGAGTCAAGAATCATCTGATTTGTGAATCGTGTTAGCTAATGCTAGACCAGTCGTGAACAATAATAAGCATGTGATCCTCTCAAAAGTAGTTTATAAATAAACTTCACTTGAATGAACAGCCAGACTACATGAAAAAGCTGCCGTTTTGGATATACCCGCGTTTCTGTGGACAAGGCCTCATTTTTGAGGACTCTGCTCTCCATTGTGAAGCTTCATGTGAGTGTTGAGGTTTCTTTTACTTGTTAAGCTCTTTCCACATTCACTGCATATAAAACTATTCTCTCCTGAGTGAGTCTTCATGTGTTGCTTTATAGCGTCTTTGCGTGTGAGACTCTTTCCACACTGATCACATGTGAACATTATGGTTCCAGTGTGACCATCTATGTGGTTCATGAGACTAGCTTTGGTTGTGAAGCTCTTTCCACACTGATCACATGCAAACGGCTTCTCTCCGCTGTGACTTATCATGTGGTGTTTGAGTGTGCTTTTATATGGGAAACTTTTACCACACTCTGTGCATGTGTAAGGTTTCTCTCCAGTGTGAATCCTCATGTGGATGTAAAGGTCTTGTTTTCGAGCCAAACTTTTCCCACACTGTGTGCAAGTAAATATTTTTCCTCCATTGTGAGTTCTAATGTGGTCTTTAAGGTTGCCACTTTGCTTAAAACTCTTTCCACACTGTTGGCATGTGTAGGGCCTCTCTCCAGTGTGAATTCTTTTGTGCACTGCAAAGTTTCCTGCATGATAGAAGCTTTGTTCACACTGTTGGCATGTGTACGGCTTCTCTCCAGTGTGAATTCTCATGTGGGTTTTGAAGCTTTGTTTATGACCAAAACTCTTTCCACACTGTTCGCAAGTGTAAGGTTTCTCCCTAGTGTGAACTCTCATGTAAACATCATAGTTTGGCTTTTGACTAAAACTCTTTCTACACTGTTTACTGCTGAAATTACACTTAGATTTGGATTTCTGAGGTCTTCTGCATGAAGTCTTTTTAGTCAGTGTGGGTTTTTCATCAGTCGTTATTTCTTGGTGTTGCTCTTCCATTTTATTCCATTGATGAGTTTCTTCTTTCAGCACCATCAGGTCTGAAAAAAAAAGAAAAGTGAACTTTAGTATGAAGGCTCAAAGCAACAAGCATGAAATTGATGTTTCACCCAAAAATCAAAATGACCTAACCCAGTGGTCACCAAACTTGTTCCTGGAGGGCCGGTGTCCAACAGATTTTAGCTTCAACCCTAATCAAACACAGCTGAACAAGCTAATCAAGGTCTTACGAGGTATACTTAAAACATCCAGACAGGTGTGTTGAGGCAAGATGGAGATAAACCCTGCAGTGACACCAGCCCTCTAGGACCAGGATTGGGGACCCCTGCTTTAAATGTATAATTACGCATTAACTTAAGCAGCTATGTTTTCCCACGCTAACTGTTTTTGTTTCCTGATGCAGCTGTGTTGCTTTTTAAAACTTATCAAGTTTCCCTGCTTCCATTCATGGTTAAAATTCTGGAAAAAGTCGTGTTCAATCAAATCCTAGACTTTCTCACTCAAAACAACCTCATGACAACAAGCAATCTGGCTTTAAGAAAGGCCACTCAACTGAGACTGCCCTGCTCTCGGTCATGGAGGATCTCAGACTGGCTAAAGCAGACTCTAAAGAGAGGTAACTTTAACTCAGAGTCAGTTACCATGGTAATCAGTCCTCATCTTGCTGGATTTGTCAGCTGCTTTTGACACTGTAAACCACCCGATCCTGCTATCTACGCTTGAGTCACTAGGTGTTGCAGGCATAGTTATTCAGTGGTTCAGATCTTACCTCTAACAGGTCATTCAGGGTGTCTTGGGGAGGAGAGGTGTCCAACCTACAGCATCTAAACACTGGGGTACCACAAGGCTCTGTTCTTGGACCACTTCTCTTCTCCATCTACATGACATCTTTGGGATCAGTCATCCAGAAACATAGATTCTCCTACCACTGCTATGCTGATGAGACCCAGCTATACCTCTCTTTTCACCCTGATGATCCCTCGGTTCCGGCTCGTATTTCAGCCTGCCTGTCAGACATTTCACACTGGATGAAAGATCATCATCTTCAGCTGAACCTCACGAAAACAGAAATGCATGAAGTTTCTGCCAACCCGACTCCACATCACAACTTTTCAATCCAGATGCATGGGGCAACCATTAATGCATTCAAAATGGTGAAAAGCCTTGGAGTATCGATTGATGACCAACTAAACTTCTCTGACCTAGAGAAGTTTAGAACTGCTCGATCGTGCAGATTCGCACTCTACAACATCAGAAAGATCCGACCCTTCCTATCTGAACATGCAGCTCAAGTCCTAGTTCAAGCTCTTGTTCTTTCCAGACTGGACTATAGCAACTCTCTACTAGCGGGGCTTCCAGCTAACTTTATAAAACCTTTTCAGATGCTTCAGAACGCAGCAGCACGAGTGGTTTTTTATGAACCTAAAAGAGCACATGTCACTCCGCTACTCATCCGTTTGCACTGGCTGCCAGTTGCTGCTCGCATCAAATTCAAAGCACTGATGTTTGCTTACAAAGCGATTTCTGGCTTCGCCCCATCTTATCTGCTCTCACTTCTGCAGATCTATGTGCCCTCGAGGAACTTGCGTTCTGTGAATGAACGTTGCCTCGTGGTTCCATCCCAAAGAGGGAAGAAAACGCTTTCCCGAACGCTCGCGCTCAATCTGCCCAGTTGGTGGAATGAACTCCCCAACTACACCAGAACGGCAGAGTCACTCGCTGTCTTCAAAAAGTGACTAAAAACTCAACTATTTAGTCTCCACTTTCCTTACTAAATGCAACTCCCTCTCTGACTCCTCCACTAACTACAAAAAATTTAAAATAAATAAAAAAAAAAAAAAAAAAAAAATATATATATATATATATATATATATATATATATATATATATATATATATATATATATATATACACACACACACACACACATACACATGGGCGTAAATCTGATTAAACAGTAGGGGGGGGGACAATAAATATAAAATTTCTTGCAAGCATTTTTTTGAAGGGGACACAAATAATAAAGCCGAATTTTACTAATAAAGATATGTCCCTGCAGTTAAAAATGGTTTAATTATAATTATTATTATAGCATGGAGACTTTATCGTTATGATTATTGTCTTAAGTTTTTCTCAGGTTCAATGACAGCTAATTTTCTTCATAACTATTTATTGCATTGTTTGTTGTGTTGTTTACAATCAATAGCATGACTCCTGAAGCAAAATAAATGCAGGAAAAGACATTTCCCATACTCATAATGACTAATTTTAAAATGTTAAAATAACCCAATCATATTGTAAATCAGTGAGCCTGTGAAATCTGCTTAACAGCCACAACTCAGAAAACATTAACAAAAAAAATTTTCACCCCCCAAAAGAATTGTCATTATCCCTTCAATAAAGCACAACACCCTTACCTGACACTGTACATCTGACTTACCCTGCCCTGCCTGTTCCTCAATCATTTCTTTCTCCTTTGCCTGTGATTAATATTTTGACATTATTATTTTCATAAGCACTCATTCTTAAAGCCAAATTGCTTAATATGTGAAGTTTTTGTACTTTGCGTTTAGCTGCACAAAAAAAATATGTCCATTTTCTCTGTCATTTTATCCAATACAAGCAACAAGCAAATGCTAAGTAGATAAGTCATTTTAATCGCTAATTCGGCAGATTCATGGACAGTTACATCCTTAATCAGCTTTTTTTTGCGGCAACTAATTTTAATTAGAGCTGCTGTTTTGTTTCTAGTTTTGTTTTGTTTTCAGTTGTTATGTTTCTAGTTTTGTTATATTTGTGTTTTTGAGTTGTTTCTTTGATTTTTTGTTTTGCTGTTTTTGCATCAGTGTTTTGCTTTTTGCATATTTGTTCTCTCTGATCTTTATTTCTTTTGCATTTTTACAAAAATAGGAAACGTAAAATAAGTGTGTGGTCTCAAGGACTGCTTTGCTACAATCGCTGCATTTGTGGAGCTTTGTCCTGTTCTAACATTGCAACCTTGTGCTTTACACTGTTTGATTAGCAGGGGTCTGTCACCTCCGTGCCCCCCTGAGTGGCTGGTAGCCGCTCTCAGGTAGTCTCCCATTTTGATGCCTCTGTGAGCCCATTTAATATATGTGCTTGTTGTATATCCTTAATGTTTTGCCATTTTTCTAATTGTGGTTTTTCTTCTTTCCCTAGGAGCTGGGAGTGTCTAGTACGGGCTGTCGGGCCACTGTGTGGCGTGACTTTTACTATTATTTAGTCTTTTGCCCACTTGTGTGCATTGAAGTTCACTGTGTGGTGTTTTGAATCTAAAAGTGTGCACGTGTGAATCTGTGGGTCATTTTTGGCCCAGTGCCTAGCCTGCCCGACTGTGGTAAGCCTCTGGTTAGATGAGGTTTTTTTTTTTTTAATTGCCTCCTCTAGTGCCTCTTTAAAAAGAGTTCATGAGGCTGTCTTTTTAATATTTGTGTTCCAAAAATAATTGAATTGTAATAAAAGAAACCCTATTCTTCTATATCCATGTCTCATTGTCTTTGCCAGAGGTACCAACCTGTATTTTATGTCCCAGGTAATGTACTGGGTGGCATAGTAGAGTTCTAATTGCAATAGTTTGTGTTAATTTGGCTTTAGTGTGCCGGTTATTGTATTGGTCTTGCGACCAACAAAAAGCCTTATCCCCCTGCGCGCCACAAATATTTTAAATGTCGAGGTAAAAAACCAAAACAAACCAAAAAATTCCCTTTTGAACTCAAATTTTTATTTGAGAACCTTTTAAAGTATTTTGGAGCAGTAAACATGTCAGGCAAGATTATTCTGATTAATCATTGACTTCTGCTGTCTTCATTAGTTTCAGAAACACAGATTTCTTTACGATTTAAAACGGCATCTATGGATATTTTCTGCTGGAGATACTGTTGTCCTGAAAAACTTAAAACATAAAAACCCTACATATACAGTAGGAATGAATTAGCAGAACATTTTGGCGGTTTTATACCTTGAAAACAGATATCGTCCCATGCCTAAGCAGCATAACACGGTTTTTAGGATCTAAAAATGAATTCTTTAAATCTTCTTTAAGTCCCAAGCTAAAAGATTTCAATGTCTGCAGGTACACAAAGAATATGGTCAATATTTTGATGAACTTTACACTCAAATGTTTGCATGTCATCAGCATGCTGTAATCCATTTCTTAATCAGCAAAAGTCATTTTTAGACTAGTTTGTTGGCCAGTTGTAGTCAGTGCAATGCTACACGTTATTGTTCCTCTATAATTTGTTTTTTACTCACTTCGTCCCACAACAACATCATATAGTTTATAATACTGTACAATGTTTTATAATAATTATTCACTTTAGTGTCCATTTCATTCTGCATGTTTAAAATTGGGGGCAATGACATTTTCTGACATACTTTAAACCAGGGTTTCTACAGGTGTCACCAAGTTATTTTTAAGACTTTAAAGACATTTTTAAAACCATTATGAATGAAATTTTAGACTTGTGAAGGGCTAAAGGCTATGGAATTTTTCAAATGGCCCAGATGAAAAATATTTGTATTTGTCCTATCAAAAAACATTATAATTTAATACATTTAATAATAAACGAATATTAAATTTTTTTTGAATATTTTAGAAATTTCTTAGCAAAATATTTTAAATATTGTGTAAATACAAGCAAGCCTTACTTGTATCCATACACTTTTTTCCAACATAAACTTTGAAAAAATAATAAAAAAAATGAACAAATATTTTAAACGTTTTAAAAACTATAATAAACTAAATCTATGCACAACAAACTGTCCAGGTAGATGTCCTCAGCAGTAAATACATGGAGCACGTTTAAACAAATGTTATTGTAAGGAAAATAATGAAACCATTATGATGAATAGAGTTAAAATGACCTTTTTGAATTAAGTTGAAAAGTTTTATTGAGATGGATTGTTGGTGATTGTTTGGGTTTTGGCCAGATTAAGTCGAAAAACATGAACAAAGGAAAATGAAGATTTGTTTAAAAAAAAAGATTCAAGACCTACAACACAATATTTCAGTAAATTTAAGACATTTTAAAGCCTAAAATTTAGATTTTGGAATTTACAACATTTTTTAACTCGCGGAAATCCTTGTTTATACACTAACCCTGGTAATTAGTTATTATAATAATGATGTAATTCTAACTCGGATACTATCTGTGAGAACTAGTAACAATGAAAAGTACTAAGCCAACACTATCACTGTAATAGCAGATATCTTCTATGAGAATACTTTTTAATTTAATGTTTTTTATATATTTTAGTGCCAGTGCTCAAGAACTCTTTACAAACAGTGGGGGTACAAGAAAAGCAATAACTACTAATTAAGAAGGTAGAAGACTAATACTACATAAAATGATGACAAAAGATCTGGGGACAAGTAACAAGAAAGAAACTCATTACTGTCTTTTAAAGAGTGCTTATGTTAGGAGAACTAGGCAGCACACTCAGGGCTGCAAGATGGATTTAATTTAGTATTCTTATAATTAAAATATATCTAAATGATGATCAAATGACTGAGTTGGTCTTTGAGAATGAAAACCAACCTGTTTGTTCCTGCAGATCTTCCTGTTTGACTGTGAATGCTTCTTCAATCTTCACATCTTCACTCTCCTCTTTAATAAACGCCATCTTTATAAGTGTGGAGATCAGTCGCTTCAGCAGGAGTTTTCCTCTGCGTTTGGACACTTTATCCTGTTTAAACTGAACAAAACAATAAAAATGTTCTGTTTAAAAAAAAAAACAGAAACAAAATAACTCCAACACTTGCTTCAACAGTTTCTTTATATGAGTAATTACCAAAAATAAATTAGGTAAAAGGTCTTATTAAAACACTTATTACACACTTTTCTGTCAATAGCCTGTAAATACTGAGAATAAAATAGTACTAGATTGTATAAAGGGTTAAAATAATATTTCCAACAGCAGGAACATAATTTAGCATCGTATAAAAAACCTAAAACTTTAGCATTTTAAATCCGTTTATATTTGTAAACGTTTTAAAGCACAAACCTTTCTCCAGTTGAATCACAACGCTGAAGCAGCGCCGCCTGATGACGTCAAACGCCGCGCCAAAATAAAAGTCTTTTTTAAAAGCTTTTCGTTTAGCTTTTTTCCATTTACTGTTCCAGTCATGAGTTATTTATTTCTCCCATGTTTTTTACTTTACACTATTTCTCGCTCTCTCTCTCTCTCTCTCTCTCTCACACACACAAACCTTTAATCTAAAAATTTTAAGACAATTTTAAGAATATTTTTTAATCCTGTTCATGATGACTTGCATGTCTACAACACATTACTTTCTATTAATATCTGAGACCAAATCTCATCCTCATAATTATGACCTCTTTTTTTCTATTTTTACAACTTCATAGGCCTATGTATAACAGCAGCTATCTCAAATGCACTTTATAGTGATAATGACCCTAAAAATGTTTTTCAAAGTTGTCTTTAAATGTTTAGATTAAAGGGTTTGATCAACTTCAAATACTGAATATCTGTGTGGTGCGTGTGTGTGTGTGTGTGTGTGTGAGAGAGAGAGAGAGAGAGAGAGAGAGAGAGAGAGAGAGAGAGAGAGAGAGAGAGAGAGAGAGAGAGCAAGTGTAAAGTAGAAAACGAGGGAGAGAAATGTATCAATAAGCCATGAGCTAAACAAAAGAAAGACTTTTATTTTGGCGTGGCGTGTGACGTCATAAGGCTACGCGGCTCTTGCGCTGGATTCAGCTGGCGAAAGGTTTGTGTTTTAAAACGTTTACTTAAATATAAAGCGATTGATTTAAAGTTTCAGTTTTTTTATCCGATGATGTACCTGCTGTTGACATTATTTTCATCTTTTATACAACGAAGTACTATTTTACTCTCAGTAATGAGGGCTGTGTTTTAATGAAGGTTTAGTTTATTAAATAGCATATTGTCATTCCATTCGAAGTATATATCACTATATATAAGAAATAGAGTACTATTTAATCAGCTCATTGTTTCCTGCTTGGACTAACCTGATTTCTTTTTGTTGATTACTCTCATATGAAACTGTTGAAGCAAGTGTTGAAGAGAAGTTATTTTGTTTCTGTTCATTGTTTTATTTATTTTAAACAGGACATTTTTATTGTTTTGTTCATTTTAAACAGGATAAAGTGTCCAAACACAGAGGAAAACTCCTGCTGAAGCGACTGATCTCCACACTGTTATAAAGATGGCGTTTATTAAAGAGGAGAGTGAAGATGTGAAGATTGAAGAAACATTCACAGTCAAACAGGAAGATCCACAGGAACAAACAGGTTAATGTTTCATGAACTTTGCAGTCATTTTATTTTTTAGATAAGATTGCAAAAATGATTGTTTATTTGATACTTAGCCTTTAATTGTCATTTATAAAGCATTAACAGTCCTCACTTTAGATTAGGTCACAAAACCGCATGAAGTTGAGTTAATAAAGCATTTATTAACATGTATAGTAACCATTAATATATGCCTGAATAATATGATACATAAGCATTGATTTCAATAGTTTATTAATCATTTACTAACTCATTCTGAAAAATCTTAACCACCAACTGCTCTTGAATTCAATTGGTTTGTAAATAATGCAATACTTCATTTAGTAATGAAAAATAAATCATTAACAAAGTATGAAAATACCATTATTAGGCACATTATAAATGTGGTTGTAAGTCAAGAGTACAGCATTTGTAGCTGCAAATATAAACTGCTTTCTAACGTTTATTAATGTAGAGTTAATGCTTAACAAGTAATGAATTCAATAGACGCTAATGCATAGTAAATGATTCATAGTGTGTAGTTTTTATAAAGTGTTACCAAATATTTTTAATGATTTTTCAAGTCTTTTCAAGTCTTTCAATTTTTTTCACACATTGAACAACAAATTAACATGGTACATAGCTACAGACATACTCACACCCCATAAAGAAAAAGAGAGAAAAAAATAAATAGATAAAACAAATTAGGAAATTAGTTATGAACTCTCACCTAGGATATAATAACCCCTGAGCATTCAATGTAGGATAGGAAAGGCTGTCAAACCTCATAAAACTCTTTTGTAGAGCCTCAGATGATGTACTTAAGGTGCTCGAGTTTAAGATGTGATAACACTTCTAATATCCAATGTTTGTGGAATGGCGGGTTTGTTTTTTTTCCAACTGACGTCTGGCCAATAAAGAAGAAAAGGCAATGATCTTTATTACATATAGATGAAAATTATCTAAACATATTGGCCCAAAATGTATGTAATCTAGGGCATCCCCAGATCATCAGATCTGCTGGCTCCAAACCACATCTGGGGCAAGATGAATCTGACCCGGCCTGGATACATTTTTGCCAGCTTGCTTTAAGATGTGATACATATGAAGCACTTTAAACTGAAGAAGACCATGTCTAATACATACAAAAGACGAGTGTACAAGTTCTATGGAATATTGCCAGCCTGTATCTGATATTTCTAGTCCCAGTTTGTCTTCGCATTTTTGCTTTATACAATTTAGGGAAGGGGAGGCAGTTCTTTGGATCACTTCATATAACATGGACATCATACCCCTTTGATATGGGTCCATATTTACCAATTCATCTATCCAACATGCTTCTGGTTGGTTCAGTAAAGGAGAGAGGTGTTTTTTTAACAAAACTACAGACTTAAAAGTACCTAAAAAAATTTGACTGGGGAATCTCAATGTCTGTTAACTGTTGAAATTAGATAAATATGCCATCTTTAAACAGGTCCTTAACACAGTTAACTCCCTTCCAGTGGCGTAGCGCAAAATGTGGAGGCCCCCCTGCAGGGATCACCGATGGGGCCCCCAGATGAAGGTGTTCATAATCTCCGTAATGAACGACTCGTTCACTAGCTGACAATAATACAAGTTTCTGGCAGCGCAGCATCTCGTTGTCATATTTCTTTTGCATTGTTTGCTGATTTTATTCAACAAAACTAGCATAAGCCGATAGTTTAGTGCGAGTTGGAGCTGCTTTGCCTTATGATGAATGCAGTAAGTGACTGTATTATCATCAATAACGTTACCTGATTAGCACAAATTTCAGAACATACAAAAACATAAAAAACGTAATCTTACCTATGAAATGTTCTGCCTTTGTCCTTTGTTTTCTTTGTTTGCTCGTTACTACACTCGTAGACAACGCTAAAGTCCCGCATCTTTACGTAATAACACTGTCTTGACTAGTGCAGTTGAATGACATTTGTCCTGGGAGCACTGTACCAATGTGGCGACGCTATAGACGCATGCTCAGGGTCCCTATGCGATATCTAGTGTATATATCTAAGTCACAAATTGAGGAGTGGGGAAATGAGGCGGGGTGGAGGGACAACGCGGGGAATCCTTCACAAACTGAGGAGCGACCACAAACCGAAAGCGTCGAGAGCGTCAAAGTAGCCAAAAGTCATTCATATTTAACGAGAACCGGCGGCGAGAAACAGCGGCGCGTCTTCACTGGCTATGATCCGGTTCGACGGCAAGCAATCAGAATGAAGTAGTCCACCTTGAGAGGAATTCAGAGAACACAGTTCTGTGAACTTTTGTTCCGACCACAGTTGTTCCCAAGAGTTTGATTATTGCGGTTCCTGGATTTTCAATCATTGAAAATCGCGACGACGTGGGGCCCCCTAATCACGCGGGGCCCCCCCGCGGTGCATGCCCTGCGGGCCCGTCCGCTACGCCACTGCTCCCTTCCTAGACCATCATTGGACTGCTGAATCTATTAGAGTGGGAGGGAAAAACAGATTTAACAAAATGGGAGCAGAAGGCAAGGCTTGTTTATTATTAAAGTGAAGTCTGAATTGTGACCATATTCTGAGTGATCCATTAATAATTGGGTTATTCATAGAATATTGTTTACTCACTTGAATCGAAGCACAAAGTAGTAAGTGTAAAGATGCTGGATTAGACGTGTGCTGTTCCATCAGTAACCAAAGTGGGGCCTCATCATTACAGATGTGGAAAACCAGAATATCAGTTCGTGTAAATTGGCTGCATAATAATATGCAAGAATTCCTTTCTTATGCAAGGAATTTTCTTATCCCAGAGAAATGTAGAAATAAAATAATTTAACTCCTTGATATAATGACTTGAGAATAAAAACAGGCACGGTCTAAAATAGAAACAGAAATATTGGTAGTGTTGTCATTTTAATGGAATTGATCTTCCCAGCCAAAGATAAAGGAAGGGTTGACCACCACGTCATGTCTCGTTTGGCTTTGTCTAATGTCGTTTTAAAATTATTATTGAACAAATCCTTATATTTGCGTGTCACACTCGCACCCATATATACAAATTTATTAGGACTTACTGAAAATGGAAAGGATTAGAAGAACATTTGCTGTGCTCTTTTATTGATAGGGAAACTCTTTGCTAGATTAACTTTGTATCCAGAAACATTTCCAAATTCTAAAATTATTGTAAGAGCTTTTGGAAAACATGTATCTAGATTTGACAGAAAAAAAGAAGATGATCATCCGCATATAGCAGAAGCTTATGTTCATGTCCATCTCTGAAAATTCCTTGCAAGCCATCTAAGTTCATTAATACGGGTGAAAGAGGTATGATGGCAATGTCAAAGAGCAGAGCGGACAGAGCCCTGTCTCAATCTCCTAGAGAGTGGAAAGC